CCCCGCGCAGCTGCAGCTGCAGCGCCCGCCCTGGGCCGCCGGGAGCGGAGCCGCGGCAGCCAGGGCGTCGTCCGTGAGAGGCGTCCGCGACTCACCCGCTAGGCCGCTGCTGGGAAGCCCGACCGGACAGTGAGGCGGCGAGGGGTCCGAGCGCAGCCCAGCCACCGCTTCGCTCCCACAAAATGGCGCTAGGGCCGCCTCCTCCCCCCGCCGGCCGCCTTCCTCTCCCACCGGCTTCCCGTCGAGAGGGGGGAGCGCCGCGCGGACGCGCCACAGCGCCCCCCCGGTGAGACGCGACTCCCTCCGGGGGGCGGGGGCGCGCAGGCCGCGCGTGAAAGCTACAGTAACGGCAGGGTCTGGGCGTGAGAAGCCAAAACTGAGAAAACGTCGGCGCGTGGGGTTCGCGCCCCCCCCCCCGCAGCGTGGCGGATGGTTTCGCCCGACCAACTGCCGGCCCCGGCTCTCGGCAGGAGCTCGCGCAGCTCGAAAACGCGCGAGAGTAGCGCAGGGGCAGGGCCAGGGGGCGGGGCGGTCGCTGGGGGCGGGCCCACAGGGCGGGGCTTGGCGAGCCCTCCCGAACTTTGGGTGGCTGGAGAGGGCAGAGCGCCAGCCCCCTTTCTACTAAGCCACGCCCCGTGCGGCCGGTCCTTGCCGCTCTCCACACTTGGAAAGAGTAACTTGAGCTTAAATAATAGCGCCTACCGGATGCTTCTTAAAGTACACACCCAGTGAGTCTGTATGATGAGGATTACTGATACTTTGCATGTTCAGGAGGAAATTGCGGCCGGGGTGGCCGGGGGGGTGGGGGTGGGGGTGGTTAAGTATCTGACTGAGGTCACCCAGGCGGTAAGTGGGATTTGAACCCTACGGCTCCCCCAGGGCTCTCAAAATAACAAAATTCAAGAGACAATTTTTGCGTGTCTTTCCCGAAACACTCGTGTGATTTCTGCTGCTGTCCACTGGGGAGTGTGTCCTTGTTTAATTGACAATGATTTTAATTCCTTCGTCTGTCAGTGTGCGTCAGTGAAGCGTAGTAGGGTCAGGGTTATTATATTAGCTCATTTCATCCGTATGATGACCTCAGGGCCGGTTATCCCTGTGGAAACTGAGGCACTCAGGTTTCCTGAACTCATCGAGCTAGTAAGGCTGGGGTGGGATTTGAGTCCAGGCAGCAGGGCTCCGGGTGAATCCTGTCCGCTGCCTGTGCCTCTTACAGCCTCCTGGGGGATGGGGAGCAAGTCCCACAGGTCCGTCTCAGATGCGTGCTGTTCCTATGGTAATGGAACCCATTTGAATTTTTTTTTCTTTTCAAAGTTTTATTTATTATTTAGTGTTGATGCATATAAGAGCTAGGGTGTAGCCAGATTAGGCCCGGGGAGGTGGGGGGAAGAGGACCCACCAAAGACAGAGTGGGGAGCAGAACAGGTGAGTCCACTGAAATGCACTGTTGAAGGGAGAAACGGGGAGACCAGAGAGGTCCGCTGCATCATGTGGGTCACTCCCTGGCAGGGATTGAACTCAGGCCGCAGTGCTGCTGCAGCACACTGGCTGGCGATACCATGCTATCACCGGGACTTTAACCCTGCGCCACCAGGGAGTGCGACCACCGGACTGCTTCTTGGTAAGCTTCAGTCATCATGACGTTTCACCTGGAAATACTTCAACCAGCATCCCTCATGAGCAGTACCATTCTCCGGTGCAGCCACCCTGCAGCCGTCATCCCAAAACGTTCAGTTATTTCCCAGGACCATATAATACCCAGTCTGTAGTCACATTTTCTTTATTTTTTAAGAGTTATTTATGCATAAGAACTGGGGGACAGGCCAGAGGTGCTGGGGCAATGAGAAGATTCACCAGAGACAGAGTGGGGAGCAGAACAGGCTGACTGATGAAGCCCACTGCTGAGGGGAGCAGCGGGCGGGTCAGGAGAAGTCTGCCGTGTGGATCACCTCGTGGCTGGGGATCGACCCTGCACCGAAGCGGCTGCGGCCAGCTTGCAGTGCTGTGCTCTAACCTACTGCAGCCCCAGGAGGGCCTGTATTCACATTTTCACAAGTGTTCCCCAAGGTGTCTTTTACAGCTGTTTTGGGGGGCCGGGATCCAGTTAAGTCTCACCCATATATATATATATATACACACACATATACATATATATACACATATATATATATACATATGCACATATATATACACATACGTATACATATAAATAGTTTATTTTTACATATTTTTGTGCTTTTTTCCATCTCAGTTGCAATCCCCTTGGGCTTCCCATCACCAATCATCCTTTAGTCTTTTTAAGTCTAGTACATTCTCCACACCCAAGAAATGACGTTTTCTCCTCAGGCCGGCTAGCTTGTGGACTGCTGTGCATTCTCTGGTTGGTTCTGCTACCGGAAATGTCTGGGCCTGCAGCCTGTCACTGCAGATGCCAATGAGCAGCGGGCAGGGTTGCATCTACCAGAGCGGCTCTTTTAGCGTGCAGGCCAACCATCTGAGATGGCGGGCACCGCGCCCGGAAGAAACCCTGCTAACATCTCGTCTCTAGGTGAACAGAACAGCCACAGTTGGATCCCTTTGTCAGGACAGAGTGTCCTAGTCAATGCTCTCCGGACCCGTCGCGTTCAGCCCCAGGGTCATCATCCCTGTTCCCCTGACCACGGTTCATCCTGGCCAGCAGAGTTTGGTTCGATGCAATTTGCTGTTGATGTCGGGCACTCCTGCGGGCATCAGGGGGCAGGAATCGCAGTTCAAAGCAAGAGTTTCCGTTTCAGGAAAGCAGGTCGTCAGCCACGCCGTGGCGCAGAGGCCTGTGGAGGAGTGTTGGCGTGTGGTGCTCTAGCGGTCGGCAGGGCGCGGTCCGACCCTGCAGCAGACCTGGGCATTAGGGCTCCTTTGGCCCTACCCTGTTTCCCGCCTCCTGGGAAGTCAGCCACGTGCCAGTTGGACATAAAGGCCAGAGCACCATGTGGGGAAGCCCGCCCGGGCCCCTGCGGGAGCACCTGGCGACCGCCGGCTTTCTCACTGCCACCGCTGCTAGATTTGATCTCTTGGTTGCGACTGTGACCAGCAGATCCTCAGCAGGAAAGCTCGACGTCCCAGCAGTCGGCAAGTAATCGCCGGCCGGTCCTTCTCACAGGCAAGGGCCTGCTTCCCCTCAGCCGCTCACTCAGTGGCTTTCTGGCCCACTGACCATCCTTGTCTGATTCATCGGCTTCATTGGGCGTTGGAAACAGCAAAAAATCACACCATCATTCCTTCTACGTTCCTTTGTGTGTGTGTGTGTGTGTGTTTTAAAGATGGCAACGATGTTTGTTACTAACGTTCTCTACATTCTTTTGCAAAGAAAATCTTTCATCAAGTGGGGGTGAACTACAGTTTCCCCTCAATGCTTTGTCCATTTCTAGGTGAGGGCAAGAAAATTGTTTGTTACCTGCCCTAGTAATAGAATTTGTTTTTCCTTTTATTTGAACTTCTGGATTTTATTTATGCCATCTTTTGAAACGTTACAGTCATTCATGTTTTTAAGGATCAAATTGTTCTAATTCTGGCCTGTGGCAACCCTTTAAACTGGCTTTTGACTGCCCGTTAGTCTTTGAGTAAGTTCTTCCCTTCTTTCTACACCACAAGGTATTCCAACTTTACCTTCTACAATCCCTGTGCCGGCCCTGGAATCGGCCTTTCCGCCAAGATGCTCTGCCTCCCCTAGTGAGAAGGGCCCTTAGAAACTGGCATTTGGGCCCCTCCCTGGTGGCGCAATGGGTTGAAGCCCTGCACTATGAAACTAGCAGCAGCCGCTTGAGCGCAAATTCAATCCTCCGCCAAGGAGGTGACCCCCAGGGCGCTGCAGACAGCCCCTGTCTCCCCGCTGCTCCCCTCAGCAGTGCACTCCATCTGTCTGCCTGTCCTGCTCCCCACTCTGGGGAATCTTCTCACCGCCCCTGCATCTCTGGCCTGCACCCCAGTTCTTTATGCATACATAAATAAATCTTTAAAAAATATTTTAAAAAATTGGCATTTGGGCATCAGGAGTACTTCCTTGCCCTTCGGTTGTGTTAGGCATTTTGAAAGGTAACACAGTACAAGGCATGCTGCTTTTACTATATGATTTACTTTCTTTTCAATTTAAATGTCTTACAGGCTACTAAAATTGAGATAAGCCCAACCTATTTGACCTCGGTCTTATGTTTAAAATCAATTTTAACAAACATTTACAAGGGCATTTAAAAGAGGGAGAACAGAGAACAGGTGTCAAATACCATCCACCTGTTAACAAGTAGTGCAAGTCAGACTGAAGAAGCCAGAGACTCAATGATTTTTGTAAAAGGCCAATTTGGGCAAAAACACCAATAACAGGAAACCTCAGTCCCTTGTTCTCCTAATCCTGTCCTGTCCCTTTCAGGCAAATAATTCATTTAGTTGCTTCTTATGCATTTAAAAATAATGAATCTATTCTTCAGTATTTAATTCACTCACTTTAGAGGTTACCCGTTGATTTCTTATTGTGACCAGGAGGATTTTTATTTTTATTCTTTATTATATTTTTTATTATTTATTTATTGAGGATTTTAAGCTCACACGCTGCATTATCAATTCCTTCACTCTGACTATATTTTTTGGTTGAATACACATTCTGTGTTTCTACTGTAAGTTTTATTTAACACTGAGGTAAGAAGTGTCCTCTTTTGCAACTTTCTGTTTTTCCTAGAGTTAATCATTGCCTTGTTTTACACTTGTTTTTCTTATTGATTATCTAAATCTCTCTACACCCTCCAGAACTATTATAAACCTTCCAAAGTTTGCCTTAAAGTCAAATATGTCAGATAATTATCATTTCTGTTTTTCAAATTTCTTGCAACTCTCAGACTTTTTCCCCCAGTACTTTCTGGGACTTGTATCAGCTGTCATCCAAGAACTTCCTTACACGTCTGAATTGCCTCTCTTCTACTCTCACATTTGATTGCTAGTCTGATTTTATATATAACTTTAGTTTGAAAGTCATTTTTTTTTCTCAGCACTTAACGTAATTTCTATTGCTTTCTAGATTTGCTTGTTGCTTTTGAGGAACCCATCATTTTCTGGGTCTTTCACATAACTTGCCTTTTTCTCTCCAGGACCTCTTTTTTTAAAGATTGATTTTATTTATGCATGCATGCAAGAGCTGGTGTCGGCCAGAAGTGTGTGTGTGTGTGTGTTGCGGGTGGGGGATATGAGAGGATTCACCAGAGACAGAGTGGGGAGCAGAATAGGTGGCTTGGCTGAAATACACTGCTGAAGGGAACAGAAGGGAGACAGGAGAGGTCTGCTGCCCCCTGGCTGGGGTTACTCCCTGGCTGGGGATCAAACTCACGCTGCAGTGGCTGCTAATAGCTTTATAGTGCTGAGACTTTA